CTATTTATATAATTATAATCGACAGCAAGAGTGGGAGTATATATGACGGTAAGTCTATGCAACTCGTGCTCCAATTTTATTTATTTATTTTTACAAGTCCTTTAATAAAGTATCATTTCAATAATACTATGTGGAAAATATGCATTACAAAATAAAAATTGATTTCTCACGTATGAGAAAACTGAGTTCTCTTAAACGTAAACAAGTTAATTAAAAAGAAGTAAAATATTTAATGAAACTGCAATGTAAATAAAATGTTACACTTGTATATAAAAAATTTTGATAAATTTAGAATATTAGTGTAATTAAATAATAGAACTAAAATTTACTCGACTTATTAATTGTTAAATCGATAATATAGTTGATAGTTACAAAATAAAAATAAAATTAAGTCTAATAAACCATACATTTTCTATTTATAAAAACATAAAACCATGACAACAATATAGTGGTAGTTCTTTTTTTTACAGTCAAATACTAACTAGTAATACATTTTTATTTTATTATTAGATATTGATATAAAATTAAAGAGTAAATATTAAGGGAAATTTATAAACCCTTAAAATTTTATTTTTAATATAAGTTTCTAAAAAAAACACAAAAGTTTCTTGAGTAACAGTGGCGCCACCAGAGAGGATTCCCAGGCCCAGACCCCCTATGAACATAAAATTATTACAGCGGGGTTGTAGAGGGGTGGATCTCTCCATTACTCTAAGTTATAAAAATCATCTGGATTCACCATACAGAAATTTTAATTGCGCTATTCTTGAGTAATATTATATACTCTCAAGATTTAAAGAGTTTTTCTATTTATTGTAATTAAATAAAATATTTTAAGATAAAAAATTACTGTTTAGAGAAAATGTATAACATTTAAATACTAAATAATATATTACAATGGATAATCATACTAAAAGTTTTCTTGTTATTACATAAGTTTGATACAAGTAAAAAATCATTTTTTGAGGGAGGGGGGAGTGGCTGATGTAATTTTTCTCTTCTTAAAAATTTTATTTTTATTTTTAATGAATAATTATTTTTAATATACACAGTATACTAAAACTTATTGGTTCCTAAAATTATTTGTATTATTACGCAATTTATAATTATTATAATTGTAATACAGATTAATATAAATTTCTAGATGTTTACTAATTAATATAAAAGCATTTAAATAATAATAAAACCAAATTTATTTTAATAAAAACGGTAGCACAGTGGGGTCGCAGCACAGTGTGAGCGTGGCATAGTTGGGACTACTAGATGTTATCTTTTTTTTTTTTTTTTTTTTTTTTTTTCCCCC